GCAGCTCTAGAAAGTCGGAACATAATTAACTGGAAAAACTGAGAACGCCATACTTGGCAATGGCAATTGAAGCACCTTTGAAGGAGCTCCACTTTCTCTCCTGTCCTTCCTTAATGAGGGCAGCTGTAATTAAACATTAAAGTCTGGCAGTTTCATCCTCTTGAACAGATCAATTGTAATTCAGACAACATTGGTACCAGTACTCAAAACCCATCTTTGTAGCTCAGAGCGCTGGAGCCTGGAATGATATACAAAGATAAAAACAAGTTGCTCTTGAGTTTAGAAAGGAAACTCCATGAGATCATGACAGGTATATAAAGAGTTAAAAAAAAAAAAAAGAACTTCCTGCAGGTCCTCAGTATGACTAGAATATTTGGGAAGATGGAGGAAGTGCTGAGTCATGGCCCAGGCAGTGAAATTACAACATACCAGGAAGTGACAGAGGGGACAAACTCCTAGACACTTGGAGCTCAGGATGCCAGCAGGCCTGTTCCACTGCTCTTACAAGGGAATGGCAGGAGCCATTGTCATTTCTTCTAAAGCCTCTCTCAGACTGACTCCTTGTCATCTTCCAGAAACCAAAGAGCTCAAGGTGCTCTCAGGTGGTGGTCTCTATAGGTCATGTTAACACTTCCTGTCCATGTGGGCCCTTCACTGTGAGCGTGTCCCAGACTCTCTCCACTGAGAACCTATAGTAAGTTGAATGGCAGCCTCCAAAAGATATATCTACATCCTAACCCCAGAACCTGTAATATGACCTCATCTTGAACAAAGGTCTATTCAGAGGTAATTAACTTTAGGATCTCTATATGAAGAGATCATTCTGGATTATCCAGATCATCCCCAAATCCAATCATGGTTGTCCTTATAAAAATCAGAAGAAGAGAGACACAGACATAGAAGAGAAGGCCATGTGAAGACAAAGACAAAGGCAGAGATGGGTGTGATGTGGCCACAAGCTCAGGGATGCTAGAGTCAACAGGACCTGGAAGAGATAGGAGGTATCCTTCCCTGGACCTTCAGAAGACACATAGGCCTGCCTTGATTTCAGACTTTTGGTCTCCAGAGCTGTGAGAGAATAAATGTCTGTTAGGCCATGCTACACAGTTGGTGGTGTTTTATTATGCAGCCCCAGGATGGCAACAGGAGCCACTCCCCACCTAGGAGCCCAGCAGAGCAGAAACACCTGCTGAGTTGTTCTCTGGGTCTCTCCTCCTCTGGTGGTGAGAATGGAGTGTGGAGAGGGCTGGGGTCTCTGCCAGGCCCTCAGCTCCGGACACCCCACCTTCCTGGGCAGAAGCAGATCTGAGACCAGACACTGACCATCCACTCCAAGGCTGACAGGAGTGCTCGCAAAGGCCAAGGTCTCACCTGCACTCATGGAACCAGTCAGGTCTCTGAGAATCCTGGTTGGCTAACTGCTGTGTGTAAGGTACTGGGCAAGCTGAACCCCAGCTCAGAATATTCAAAGGGCCTCAATGTGAGCAAGCAGCTTGTTCCCACCTCATGCTCATTCCTGTAACACTCCTGAATGCTGAATCCATGGCCCACACTCATGCCTGTCTCAAGATCATCACTCAACAAACATTTGTGCAACCACAGCCTTTAAATGTTATGTAACCATACTCAAGGAAAAAAAACACAAACTATGTGTACCATTGGCACTTTAAGCATAAAATTGGGGCCAAAAATCCAAGTGGTAAATCACTGAGGTTTTAAGTTTTCAACACACATAAAGGTAATTTAAAAACCATTCTTCACACCATTTTAAGTGTTTTCTAAAACCCAGTTTGTTCTTTTTGATGACCAGCTGAATATAGGTTTCCTGCGTGGTCAGGAGATCCTCCACTTGTTTCCTGATACCTCATACACCGAATTAAAGGTTGAAGGGGTGCTGCCCCTTTAGACGTGGCTAGGAGACCCCCTTACTCTATCTCACCTTATTCCAAACACCTGACTAATAGCAAATGGAAGAACTCTACACAGAAACCACTTCACCTTTGTGTTTTGTTATTTATTGATGACGTTCAGTAAACAGAGAAAATGAAATATTAAGTAACTACCCATTCTGAGAAAAGAATTCCAGAACATTTCATGAATCCTCAAATAAGATCAAGAGGATGATATGCCAACCACAAAGTAACTCAGATTAAAACAATAAATACTTCACTTCATCATGGCTTTAGCATTAAAGTATATTTCCCACAATGTCTATATGTTATTCAGATATTACTACATTTTCTGAAGTCATTTGTATTGATGTAATATTGTTTTGCCCCAAAACTGACCCTTTAAGGGTATGGCCATGACTCATTAAGGCAATTAATTCTTCCTCATCCTCCCCATGTGCTGGTCACTCCACAGGTGTAGAGACATGCAGCAGAAAACGTTCATCCAGACACACAAGTAGAATTCTCATTGAATGTTTTTTTTTTCTTCCGAATTTATCATCAAAATGCATCCTTCACCAACAGATACCCAAGTCAATTTATAAGAGAAAAGCCGATGGGCTCATTTGAGAATAAACACAGTGGCGGAGTTCTCTGACTGCTAGAAACCCCCAAACTGGACTCACCTGTTGCCACATAGGACCCGTTTCTGCGGGGGTTGAGGGTGGGTGGGTGAAGTGTTCCACTATGTGGATGCTGAGAGTCGCAGGAAGTGATCAGGAACAGGGAGGACAAGGCTCCCTCCCTCCATCCTCCCTAAAGCCTTCTCCTGGCACCCACTTTGGCAGAGTCTAAGGGAGAGAGTGGCAATGCAGATAAAGGTTTTGTAGGACCCTGATTCATGCAGCGTAAGGTAGAGGGCGGGCAGTGTTGAAGCTGAAAGTCAAAAGCTAAATATCTGGCATATTCCTCTTTGTACTATTTCTGCCTTGTACAATAGTCTGGTGTTTGCTTGTGTTTCACTGAACTGCATGATTTACCGAAGACACTTATCTCAAGCTGTCCACTTCTTATAGTGGTCCTCCACAAATGTTAAGGAAATACATTTTTAAAAATTGTATTAAAAGGAGTGTGGGGAGGAATCAGGAGCTCTTGACAGCTGCGTCCTAGCCCTGACTGCTGCAACACAGTCCCCTGAATCTGGGGGCACAGGAGCAGAGGGCTCCGAGGGTTTGGGGAGGAGGGTGAGAAGGAAGGTTAGGTCAACAAGTCTGTCTGCCCCTGCCCAGCATGCAAACTATGGAACTGGGATCCCAGGTTCTAATCCTGGATTTATTATCTTGTGGCTAAGTGACCTTAGACAAACCACTTAACTCAACCCTAGAGATAATGTCACAAAGTCTTCAGCTTGTAAAATGATCACTGATGCTTTCCACCACCTCGCCACCACAGAGATAATGCGTTTGCTGGCAGTGAGGCACAGGCGCCGATGAAAGACAGGGTCGGGCTCAAATTCTTCATTTTTATGGCAATTCTTTCTTGGCCAAAGCCTAAGGTACATACACTGCCCCTGGACCTAGGACACAGGTAGACTGGTAGCACATGCTTAACTACTATAAGCTTCCTCTTTTGTGAAACCTAGGAAAAGGGTTTAACTGTTACCTTTGGCATTTTCCTGTGGTGAGTAACATCAGGAGTGCAATGGTGCATCTTCTCAAGGGACAAAGCCCTCCTCCATCCAGAGTGTGGGTCTCTCCTAGAAGCTTTGGATCAATGCACTGATGGGCCCTTATTAAAATGTGACTATTCCCTGTATAGGAGTTTAAGTTCACACGTATCTGTCGATTAACTGTAGGTCAAATTAGGAGCTGGGATTAGGCTGCTATCAGTCAGCTTATACCCAACAGAGGGGGACCAGAGACCATGTGGGTTCTTTTGGAGGACAGGGAGAGCCCCAGAATATGGAATAGGTGGCCTGGAAGAAACATCTTGGCAGCCTTGAGCAGCATGAGGCATTGGGAGGGACTCTGAAACTGGGGGCTAGAGAAGGGTACTTAGAGGAATAGAGGCTGAGGATGGGGAGCTTCCTGGCCTCCTTTTTGGTCATGGCATGTCATGTTCTCAAAGCTGGTAGACAGTTGGGGGCCAGGAGCCCTAGGCCTCTCTATGCAGTTTTTCTTGCATGAGGCCAGGAGTGAAGGAGCTAGTGCAGCCAAGAGCCCTGAACTCTGGAGCAGCTCTGTAGACAGCCTTGGGTAACAGTAAAGTTCAAGGTGACATTTAATAAAAAGCAGCCTAAGGACTCCTGAGTCTAGGGATGTGTTAAGTTTCCTCCCTTAGACTTACCCCATACCCAAAATTGTATTTTTCAATAAGGATGGTTCTGGAGGGTGCTGGTAGACCCAAAGGGTTTTCAGAACATTTGAGAAACTTTCCCCTGAAGTCTCTGTGGGCAGGTTGTCTGTTGGGCATTTTGGGTGAGTTGATATCCCTTTAATGAACAACTTTTTGCCTATTGACCAATGACTTCAGTGCACACATTGTTAGAAACCCTGAATACATGAAACTTTCTATCTAGGATGTTGTGTGGGCGACTATTTGGCAATGGATGTTTTTAAAAGGTATTTCTAGTAAGTAGCTTTTATCTTTAATAATATAATTGATTGAGTGCTGATAGGAAGTCATGGGAGATAGGACACTGTTTGGTCTAAATTTCAAATAGTTTTGGAAGAGCTCAACATAAATATGCCATTTAGTATTTTCAGCTTCTTCCATCCCACACATTTAATTTCCTTTGAGGGTTTTACTAACAAATCATCCTTGCATTGGCTCAGATCTGAGGAGTGGGTTATCGCTCCTAAGCTATTATCTCATCCTTTCTGCTTCTTACTGTCACTTGTTATTTGGAAGACTATGTGAAATAAATTCCTATATGTTTAAAATATATATACATGTAGATCTGGTTCTTTGGAAGAAGGATGCCACTGTAACTGTAACTGAATATGATTAAGTTTGTGTTATAATTTTAATCATTACTGGTTGTAAAGCACCAATTTCAAAATGCACAGCTATGATAAAAATCAGAGTTTCTAAGAAAAACACAAAAAATAATTCTTATCAGTGTTGCATTTTTATTTTATACCATTCCTACTTAGGTGAATACCACATTAATAGTATTTAACATTTATGGGACAATGGTGACCAAGCTCCCAATTAAAGTAAATGATTTGATTAATGAAATAATAATGAAAATGACAGTAAAATTTAACCAAGTGGATTTGAGGTGTTCTTATCTCCTATTCTCAACTCAGTGAGAGGGTAAAACCCTCTCTGCCCCCTCCCCCCGGCCCCCCCTTCATGCATTTCTCCACTGAAATTCCATCATGCAGGGGTAGAAGAGTCTGTCCAGCACCTGGGATAGAGGAGGAAATGAAGCAGTCTGCTTCTGCAGCAACAGGACCACAGAAAATACAGAAATCCTGTTAGATTTCCAGCAGGTCACACTCCCCACTTAAGGAGTCCGGTTATAAACTTTGCATTAGCTGCACCAATTGTTGGGGTTATCCAGACATTCAATTTTGGAGCTTCTCAGAAAGGAGGGCATGGCTAGGGATTATTTGTTCTTGCTTACTGAAAACAAGAGGAGGTAAAAATTCTTCCACAGTTTAGAAATTAAAGGTTAAGGTCAAAGTCTGGGCCATGGTAGCCTCTATTTCCATAAGTTTGATAACAATGAATGTCTTCCTGCTGCCAGTGTGGATGCCTCAGGGATCCAGATGAGCTGGGTTAGAGTTTTCCTGAAGGGTGCCCCACTTCAGTGCAAACACTAATCATGAAATAAGTCTTCAAATAGACAGCTGTCATCTTGCACTAGAAAAAAATATGCTGCTGAAAGCAAAATGAAATAAGTTTAAAAATAAACTAGACTTACATGACAAAGTTAGAAGTTATTAATTTCTAAAAGAAACGTGCACATAACAAACATAGGTTTTTTTTTTTGTTGGTTTTTTTTAGTTGTACAGTGGCAATTACATACTCAAAGAGTTAAAATATAAACCTTAATACATGCCTACACTTAAAAGTACTGTCCTTAAAACACAAGTTCTTATCAGAGGTCTGCATGGTTCTTGGCAAACAAGACATTCTACCTTTTAAACAAATAATTCATTAGGTAATTAAATTCAAGTGAGATTACTTTAATTAAATATACACTGCTGTTGAATCATAATTTCTATGCAGTCTAGTTAAAGATGAACAATCTCTTATTCCTGACAAAAAGAAAAAAAGAAAGTAAAAGAATTCCCTGGTGGCTGGAAGGATAGATTTACACCCCTTACCCCCCCACCCCACCCCACCCCCGCCCCCAGAGATCATTTCAAAAAGATATAGATGCCAATACCTCCCTGAGAGGTGGTGGGGGAAGGGGTCCTCCTGTCTGGAGATTCCAGAAGTTTGAGCTGTATGCTCTGGGTTCCATTGAAAGGACTTTTGGAATCAGGCAGGAAGCCACTCACAAGGGCCCTCGTCCCGGTGCTAGGTTATCTGCATGCTTGTCCACAACCCGGCATCCAGGTGGGAGCCCTGCACATATTCAGCCCATGCCCAGGAGGCCCCAAGCTCAAAGCGCTGGAGGCCAACGCTGGCCCAAAGACCCCAGGACTTGAACAAAATGAAGTCAGTTGTCTCCCATGCAGGTGGCCAGGCTCCCTCCAATGGCATCCGGAGCCACAGCCAGGACTGTGCTCAGGGGGCAGAGAAGTCCCCGCTGGCTTTGATCTTGGAGTCCCAGCTACAGAGAGCTGACAGAGAGCCCCGCTTTCATTTGTCAGACACGCGTTTCCTAGTGCTGCGGAGGAGGCGGTACACCTGTACTGCCAGCATTTACAACGCCTTGCTCGGGGATGGCATTGATTTGGGAAGGGTGAAATACAAACGCAAACTAATTAAACACTGCATAATGGAGCCCTACAGGAACACCGGAGAAAAACAAATAAACACGAGTGCAGCTGGTGCAGCGATGGTACCTCTGCCCTGCAGCAACCGTCTGGTGACATCAAATTATAAACCCCGAAAACCCTCACATTGTTGCAGTTGATCATATTGGAGGCACAATGGAAATGATCTGGTTAATTATGGGGAGGTTTATAAAATATTTACGTGCGCACACGCATGTAATTCACTTCCTCCGACACTCACCGGGGCACTGCAGGCCGGGCCACTGCGTCCCTTTCTCTGCCTTGCAACGGTGGGAAACTCCCGTGGGTTGGGAAATCTCCAGGCTCCCAGGCACACTTCGCGCGCCGGCTCGCCTGCCTTCCGCCTTCCGGGGAGCCAAACCCCACTCTATTGAAGCACTGCTCCGAGAGTCTGACCATCCGTGTCCTTCGCTCTGGGCCTTTTTCCTTTTCGTGTTTTCCTGGAGTCTCTCAGCATCTCCTCCCGCCGGCCCCACTTGACTCTTCCCTCTGAGGCATGCCCGTCTGGAAGCGAGGGTCTCCGCAGTGTTGCAAGTTCAAGGCGCTACTCTAGGTCAGGATGCTCCAGAGGCGTCATGGACACGCCTCCCCTCACCCCCAACCCCCGCCCCCAGCTTGGCGTGGCAGGAGAACACTGTCTGGGCACCCAGGGGTTGGGCTGAGAGGGCCACCGGATCATTGCATCCAGCCGACCCTCTGGGCTCCTGGGTTACAGCTGCGTGCTCCTTGCAGGTCATTGCTGACTGTTTGGCACTCGCCTCGCTGTTGCTGAGCCCGTGGCTTCCTGGGTCATGCAGGAGAAAGGTGCAAAGTCCTAATGAGTATTTAACAAGAGTCATAAATCGCTCACGTTGGGGCGGAGGGCCAGTCAAGGCGCCCAGCCCGCCATCCGCACAGCAAAGAACGGCCATTTGAACGGCAGGCATCGGAGGCCACAGCGCTGCCCGCTGCACCCAGGAGGGTCTGCGTTGCTGTTCTCGGTGTTAAAGGCAGGTCCCCGCGGTGGCTACAGGGAATAGGCAGCCCCCCTTGAGCTGTCTCCTCTTCTTCAGACCTAGGTCGTTGGAGCTTCAAAACAGTGAATAATTATTTTATAATAAATAAAATTGTAAATGAGGATGCTGTTTGGTTTATTTAAATTCATTCTTATGTAAATACACCACGGGGTTGTGGTGGGAAGGAAGCGGAGACTGCACTGAGAAGCTGGGGACAGAAACGGATGCTCTTTTTCAGAGTTCTGATAGCAACACCCTCCTGTTTAGATAACTACCCCCGTCCCAGCCCCTAAAGGAGCAAATCAACTTTCCACCAGGTTTTGAAACCAATTTAACAGTCAACTTGATTCAAATGCGCTTTGTTCACCAACCCTCCCTGAGCCCCACCCCCACTCGCCAAGGCCTCAAGGCTTCCTCCCCTGCCCACCACAGCCCCTCCCAGCTTCCCTCCTAGCTGAGGTCCGCACATTACACGCAACCCTGCGCACCCATGGGTGCCTCCGAGGCCCACATCCTAGCAGGAGCGCACCAAGAATACAGGCTTTCCAGCTAGTAAGTCTGGGTCAACGGCTACTGTCGAGCTGGGCTCGGCGGGGCCGCGCAGGCAACAGGGGCCACCTGCCAAAGGCCCAGGAATGGAGGTCCTTGAGGAGCACCAAGCTCCCAGACCCGCCGGGACGCTGGCCGGGCAGAGCTCCGATCAGATCGTGCAGCGACCCCTAGGTCTCCTCTGCACCGCTGGGCGGCCCTGCCTCTGTCTCAGTGATGGAGGGTGAGGATAGGAGGGAACTGCTCCAGACCCGTGGTTGGGCTGGCTGGAGGGATCCCATGCCAAGCGGCAACAGTGGCTGAGGGTCTGAGAAGCTGGCCTCTTCCAGTTCCCTCACCCAGAGCCACACTCTGGAGGCCATGGGTTTTCAGACAGTGGGACGCTGGAGCCCCAGTACTCATCCCCCTCCAGTGCCTGAGGGTGAGCAGGACCCAACTCCTCCCTCCTACTTGCCCCGCAGCACTGAGGCCAGCAGAGGGATGGCTGGACCCGAAAGGGTGGAGCTGGTGAACTGGACCTGGATGAGGAGTACAGTGAAGTCAGGCCAAGGTCCCTGGCGTGAGCCTCTCTCCTGGCTCGGCACCCTGGCCTTCCTCAGCCCTACTTAGTCACGTGATGATTAAAACTGAGTAGAGGGCTTACTTTCCGGAGGACACGTCCTTGGCAAAGCTGAGCCACCAAGTTCTCAGTCCTTCTCTGCCCCTCCCCCTCTCCAATAGGATGCTTTGGAGGCAGTTTTCTTACAACTTCCTAGTCCTCTCTGTGGAAGTTTTCTGAAAAAGGGCCAAAGAGAAAGAAGGGAAGAGGTGATCTAAGTCACCAGGGTCTGCTAGGATCCCAGCCCATAGCCTTGGGCGGATGGCCACATTTGCTGCTCTGACACCTTTCCATGGCTCCCTTGGGGCAAGTCCAGTCCTTTCTAATTCTAATTTCCTCTGTAACTGGCTAATCCTCAAGCTGGTTTCCAGAGGGGTTTTCCCCACTCACCTCCCAGGTGTCTCCAGGAACCTACAATCATTTCATGACCTGAATGGAGGTAATACATGCAGAGCATGGTGGGGAGGCATTGCTGGGCTGGTGAGGGTCTGGACAAAGCTTCCTCTGATGGCCCCTCCTCCTCCACGTTCTGATAGCTACCGGGTGCCGGATGTCAAGGTGGACTTTTGGGGGTAAGGTGGGAAGGAGATGATCAATTCTGTGGCTGGATCCTGACACTGGTTTACATTCCACCTCATTATCCTGGTCACACAAGAGGGCTTATCTCACCCGTGTTTACCTGTTGCCCTGAAATGTGACTCTGGAGTTTGCTAAAGGGAACAGAGGTGGAGCTGGCCCTTTGGTTTGTTTTGGATGCTGGGGAGAAGGGGTTGGGATGCCTGGAGGTGGGCTGGGGAATAGGAGAGAGCTGTGGTTAGGGACTTCCCAGAGCAGAAGTGCCAAGCGCCTATCCCTGCCTCCAGAATCTGTCACAGCAGGAAAGGAGCCCAGGCAGTTGCAGGGTATTTCTGGAGAGAGCTGGGGCTCCTGGGGTGAAGATGGGGGCGGCAGCAGCATGAAGAAGAATAAAGCCTGACTCTGAGCAGAGAAATTACAGCCTCATTACAGAGCTGGTGATGACATTACTATTATGGGCAGTGGCTCTGTGTCTGTCCTCAGACCCCAAAATGGAGAAACGGGAGCCATCCCAATGCTGCCATGATCCCAGCAGTTGGTGTCCAGGGTATGGGTGGCCCAGGTCACCTGCAACAGAGCATGCTGGCAACCAAGCCCAGACGTCAGCCTCAATCCCACAGCTCCAAACGGCACAAACGGAGTACAACAACCAGAGTCCAGTGAATGAAATTCCTGCAGGTTCCACCGGAAGCTGGGAGCTCTGACTGCTGCGTGAAAGATGCGGTGCAAAGTGGCCCAGTAGCCCAGACTGGTACCCTGGACACGCTCCCCATCTGGGCCACGGGAACCAAGCCAGCAAGTAAAGCTCAGTAGCTGCCTGCCCAACCTGTCTGAGCAGAGGGAGCTCAGGAGGACCTTGCACTCAGCATCTGAGCCCTAGAGCGGCCAGGCCCCTAGGGGGGCCACGGGGAGCCAACCAGCAGTGCTGGGTCCTGCCTCATAGGCTCTCTCTTTCCTCAGGGCAGAGGGTGGAGAGGGACGTCCTGTCCCTGGCCTGGTCGCCTAGCTGCCTCAGGCGGGCGTGCTCTTCTTAAGTTTACTTCCTGCACACCCAAGGGACAAAGGAGGGGCGCCCAGGCCACTTGTGCTTTTCTCATCACCACGTTGGGCACCTGGAATGCTTCCCTTGCGCTGCTGTGATGCAGTCTCTGTTAAGAAAAGGTCTCTCGCCCCCAAGAAACCGCTACCACAGACGGCATCTGCTTCCCCCAGCAAGTGGCTTCTCAGCTAGGGTTCTCTTTCGCAAAGTTTCCACAATAGAGAAAGGTTGCAGAGTTTGGCCGCTTCCCGCTTCTCCAAGTACAGCACGGTCGGTCATGTCCATATGACTTAATACCTAGTGGGGGCCCCTGGGACGCCAGAGCGCATCGGATGGCACGCCACGCCGGGTTAGTGGCACATGAGGTTCACCTGGGTGCACTTCTGCCAAAGACTTCCAGGAAAGCAAAGGCAGCTCCAACTTCCGAAGAGAGGCCGCTCCCCGTCGGCTGGCTGTCACCGCGCCCGGGGCCAGCCCCTTCCGCGGAAAAGCAGGAGCCGAGATGTTTTTATGAAACAGCAGACACACCTCGGCTGCGAAACAGCAAACCCCAGTGTCCGACAACTGTAAACCGGTGTCGACAGGTTGTCAGACAGCCGCGGGGGCCGGTCGGGAAAGAGCCCGCGGCCACCAGGCCCGCACCCGCTGCCCCGCCGCTTGCGTGCCCGAGGCAGGCGGAGGTGGCCCGGCCGGCGCGGGGCACCACGTGCTCGCCGGGAGGGGCGGGAGAGGCCGGCTCCGGCGGGCGGGAGGCTGGGAGGGGACGGGAGGGGAGCCGGGGGCGGGGCTAGCGCTCAAGGGGATGCCAATCAAAGCATCAACTTCAAATTGTGTCTGAAAGCCCCGCCGCCGAGCGGAGGGCGGCCGCCGCAGTCGGCGCGGGATCGCGGAACCGGGCGCAGCCGGGAGCCGGGCGCCACCGAGCATCGGGCCGAGGAGCAGCCACCGGCCCCCGCCTCCGGGCCGGTCAGAGCGCGCCCGGCCCGCCGCCCGTTCCCCCCCGCCGCGCCTCACCCCAGCCCCCTGCCTCCCTCCCCCGCCCCTTTAATACTTGCCCGCTGCCGCCGCCGACGACTCCGCGGACATGTCCTTCCCGCAGCTGGGCTACCCGCAATACCTGAGCGCCGCAGGGCCTGGCGCCTATGGCGGAGAGCGCCCGGGCGTGCTGGCCGCCGCCGCGGCGGCAGCCGCCGCCGCCTCGTCGGGCCGGCCCGGTGCGGCGGACCTGGGCGCGGGCGCCGGTGCAGCGGCGGTCACCTCGGTGCTGGGCATGTACGCGGCGGCCGGACCTTATGCGGGAGCGCCCAACTACAGCGCCTTTCTGCCCTACGCCGCGGATCTCAGCCTCTTCTCGCAGATGGTGAGTGCGCCCGGCGGCTGCGCGCCTTTCTCACCCGGGCGGCCTCTCCCCTCTGGCCCCGGCGCCCGGGGCAGGGAGTCTTGGCGGCGCGGCGCTCGGGAGGGAGGGAGGGAGGGAGGGAGAGAGAGCGGCGGGCGGGCGGAGCTGGCCGGGGCGGGAAGCGCGAGCGGCCCTGCCCGTGGGTTCGAGGCATCGGGGTCCTGGACGCGCGAAGGGGCCGGCGGGCAATGCCCCGCCATCTCGGGAGGACAAACGGGAGGCCCGGCCACGAAGGGGGTCTCGGCGGTAGTCAGGAGGCCGCAGGAGCAGGCCCCGGGCGCGCGGCCCACGCTGGAGGTCAGGGCCCAGCTCGCCAGTTGCCCCGGCCGGGGTGGAGGCGGCCAGGCGGGCGGCGAGGCTCTGGCAGCTCAGCCCGCTTTCCCAGGAGTCCCCTCCGGCCCGGCTTTGGGCTGGGCGGCCAGACGTGGTTTCTCCTTCTTTGGCAGAGCTCACACAGTTGTAACCGAGTTTAAAGTCTGGTAGATGCTGTCAAAACCAACGTAACAATGGCGATCGGACGGGCGGGCCGTGGGGCCCATGGGATCTCTTAACGGTGTGTGTGCAAAATTGAGATTGAGGAAAAAATTAAGTTGAAATGTTTTTGGCGTCTAAAATGGTGTTTGCTTTGACTTTTGTAAGTTGCCAAAGTTTTCATTTCATTTGCACCTAAAGAAAAACACTTTTTCCCTCGGTTACATAATGGAGGATTAAAGAAAACAGTGTCCCTGGGCTTAAAATAAATGGTGTTCTCTAAGTCTTCGGCCCCAGTGGGTGTCAGATGTGGGGGCGGACGCTTTGCAGAGAGCACGGGCCAGTCTATTGATCCACTGGGTCCGTTTTCGTTGGTCCGATGCAAGGTCGGGCTGGGCTGAAACTTGGGCTGCTGGTGATCTGCATGCGGGGCGCGGGGGACAGGGAAGCAGCCCCCTCCTGAGCTGCTGCCGGCGGGATAAGGCAGTTCTTTACACCCCCACCACGAGGTCTCCCCACTCCCTGAAGAAGAGCGGAAATAAATACCCACCAGCCAGCGAGCAAAGTTGTGGTGGGTTTTCCTCTAACTTTTTCTTGTAGTTTTGGAAAGAAAGCCTATTTCTCTGAAGGCGGCCCCAGCTGCCTTTCAGGTCGCTGGCTATCGAAAAAGATCTGCTCCCATTTTGTTCTGGCAGCCGGGACACTGAGCAAGCGATGAGAGATTTACAAGGTATCCTTTCAAAAAGAATTCCCAGCAGAGAAGAGGCCGCAACGTCTTCTTCACAATCACACGCAAAAGCCTTAGAAACGTGCAAAGTACATTTTGTAAAGATGAGGCAAAAACGAAATCTGGCCAAGGAAACCTTTTCTCTGTGGCATAAACCACCAAACTAATTGCTCAAAGAAATCTTCTGCTCTTTACAACTTTCTCAGTCTGGAACCCTCTCCTGCGAATAGCAACTGGATGATTGTATGTGGAGGATCATAATTTTTTTACAGAAATTTTGAATGCCGATGTGTGTCATTTAGGACCCCCTTGTGTTGGTGGGGGAGGAAGCGAGCTCTAGGTTGAGAACCTGCTTGTCTTGTAGTGCCACGGGGAAGGCAGAGGCTTGGTTTTTGGCTAAGGGGGTACTGTAGAGAAATTCCCCCTCAAGAGGTGTGTTTCCTTGTGGTCTCTTGTGGGTTCTTGAAAAGGAAGCATAGACCCAAACTCGGATGTTAGGCCTAGGCTTCCAAACTGTCCGGACTGGGGCTTTGGAAGTTGAAAGATAAAATTGTGAGTGGACTATCTATCCAGGCAATTTATGGTAATAATGAGGCCTAATGAGGTTGTTAGAAAGATAAAATGTTATTTACCAAAAAACCTGATGGGATAATTTGACTAGCTGTGTTTTACTACTGATGATAAAAAGAATATTGATTGCAAATAAATCAGGGCCTCTAAATGCCTTCACACAGTTTGTGTTGCTTGCTGCAGATCAAAGTCAAACTTCAGAGACAAAGTAGGAGAAAGAGGCCCAGGAAACCGGTTCCGCGCCTCTCAGCTGGCACTGCGGCCATTGCGTTAATATTTTACCGATAAGCCCTTCTTTTGTGTTTGAAAAAAATGGTGTTTTTGTTATTGTTGTTCATGATGGCCAGGATTAAAATTTTAAATTACTAATCACCACTGTAGACCTTTAATTATGGGCGAGCCATTATATGCAGATTAACATGGAAGCAAAAAGGAGCCGTGCTTTCATTTTAAATTGCTGGGTGATTTGAGCCCCGAGAAAATCCAAGCGGTTTATTTTGTTTGACCCCCTCAGGGATGGAGGGTGGGGGCATTGGCTGTTGCTTCTTCAGGTTTGGAGAATCTGTTTTATAGGACTTGTTAAAAGGTTTTCCCCTCCAGCCAGAGTGAGGTAAACTTGGAAATCCGGCTTCTGGAGTTGTGGTGGGGGTGGGGGGTGGGGGCAGAGAAGGGTCTGGAGAAATTGAAAAGGGCCGGGGGCTCCGACTGTGGCCTTCCAGAGAGGCAAGGCTTCTAGAACTTTCCTTGGGTTACAGAATAGCTCTCCACTATCTTTGGAAACGAAGTTCCTGGAGGCAACCCTGGTCTAACCCCCCACCCCCACCCCTTTCCATCTCGGGGGTGAACTGGGGCCTTTTGCTCCAGAGCAGACAGGGCACAAGAGCAACTGCCCCTAACTTTACCTTGAGTTCTGGGAATTCATCTTTCTCTTTCTCTCTTTCTCCACCCCTACTCTCTCTCTCCCCCTCACTTGGCCGCGTGGCCACAGGGCTCACAGTATGAACTCAAGGACAACCCCGGGGTGCACCCTGCCACCTTTGCTGCCCACACGGCTCCGGCCTATTATCCCTATGGCCAGTTCCAGTACGGGGATCCCGGGCGGCCCAAGAACGCCACGCGCGAGAGCACCAGCACGCTCAAGGCCTGGCTCAACGAGCACCGCAAGAACCCCTACCCCACCAAGGGCGAGAAGATCATGCTGGCCATCATCACCAAGATGACCCTCACGCAGGTCTCCACCTGGTTCGCCAACGCGCGCCGGCGCCTCAAGAAAGAGAACAAGGTGACCTGGGGCGCACGCAGCAAGGACCAGGAGGACGGCGCCCTTTTCGGAAGCGACACGGAGGGCGACCCCGAGAAGGCCGAGGATGATGAGGAGATCGATCTGGAAAGCATCGACATCGACAAGATCGACGAGCACGATGGTGACCAGAGCAATGAGGACGATGAGGACAAGGCCGAGGCCCCTCGAGCGCCCACAGTGCCCACCGCCCTCGCTCGGGACCAGGGATCGCCGCTGGCAGCCGCGGACGCGCTCAAGACCCAAGGCTCGCCCCTGGGCCTGGCCAAGGAGGTCCCGGAGCCGGGCAGCACTCGCTTGCTGAGTCCGGGCGCAGCGGCGGGCGGCCTACAGGGTGCGCCTCACAGCAAACCCAAGATCTGGTCGCTGGCCGAGACAGCCACCAGTCCCGACGGCGCGCCCAAGGCCTCGCCGCCGCCCTCCGGCCATCCCAGCGCGCACGGGCCCCCTGCGGGCGCGCCGTTGCAACACCCTGCCTTTCTGCCCAGCCACGGACTGTACACCTGCCACATCGGCAAATTCTCCAACTGGACCAACGGGGCCTTCCTGGCGCAGGGCTCGCTGCTCAACATGCGCTCCTTTCTGGGCGTCGGCACGCCCCACGCTGCGCCCCACGGCCCCCATCTGCCAGCGCCGCCGCCACCGCCCGTCGCTGTAGCCTCGGGGATGCTCCATGGCGACAAGGCCTCCTCCCGCAGCAGCCCGGCGCTCCCAGGTATGGCCCTGGGAGCGATTTTCCAGTCCTGGGCCAGGAATCTTGAGCCTGGGCTGATCGTGGGGGCGGGAGGCACTGGCCCGGGAGGGAGAGACGCAGTGGCCTCAGAGCCCGGCTGAGCAGTAACCCTCATTTGAATTCGGGGAGCCTGGCCAGGGCCCTCGGGCACTCCCGAGAGAGCTGTGCGCTGTCACCACAGTCCTGCCGGGAGGAGAAGGGGATGTTTCTTTTGGAGACTGCCCCAGTGGCGGGAGGGAATGAGTTGGGGAGGAGGCCTGCGCCCCTCTGCCCCCACCCTCACCCCCACTTGTCTCCCGGTCTTAATTATGCCTCTCCCTCTCCCTCGCAGAGAGAGACATTGTCCCCAGGCCGGACTCGCCGCCACAGCAGTTAAAGTCGCCCTTCCAGCCGGTGCGCGACAAGTGAGTGCCCTTTGCTTTACCACTGGTTCAGGGAGGGAGCAGGGTTGGTTGGAGGTGGGGTCGCGCAGTCAGTGTTGAAGGGACCTTGTCCACCTGCCTAAATGGCCCGGCCAGCTGAGTCCACCCGGGTTTCTCCCGAGCCGGGAGCCGCGGGGGCCAGGCGACCCGTTCCCGCCCCCCGGGCGCTTGGCTGGCTGACCCAGCGATGCCGGGTCCCAGCGTCCATCCTCTGACAGTGCCTTTGCCTTTTTGTCTTGCTGTGTTTTCCCCGCAGCTCGCTGGCCCCACAGGAGGGAACGCCTCGGATCCTAGCAGCCCTCCCGTCCGCCTGATTCAGGGTCTTCTTTTAGTTTTGCGGGGGGAGGGGGGAGGAGTTTGGGAGGGAGGGGATGAGGGAGGAATTAAGACAAATATTTCAGACTGGTGTAAAGAACAAACATGGCAACGACGTCAAATGACTCCCGTCCATCGCTTTCTGCAGAAAGGGGCTCGTCCCCGCCGAGCTCGCTGGAGTTCAGACAGCTGGCCTCCGCCTGCGACTGGGCTCTGGTGGCTGTCACCAGGCTCTGGTTGATTATCGGCTGGGTAAATGCCCCCACGTGCTTGTGTCTTTTTTTTTTTTTCCTTTCTTTCTGTATATAGAGTGATTTCAGATTGTAAATAGCGCGTCAGCGAACTTGTCTAAATCATATATTTTTGTCTAATAAACTAAATGAAATGAAGCCACTGCTCCTGCTGCTCTTTGTGGCTGTGGGTTCCTGAGTCCCAGAATTCTTGCAGGGCCCAAGTGCCCCAGGCGTGGGGAGGAGAGGCCCCTCAGAGAGCTCCCATCCAGGTGGTGGGTGTTTCTCAGTCTTGGTTGTTTAATTTGCGATATTGTCATTAGGGCAGTTTCTTGTTGACAGTTTGATTCTTAACAACTCTTACACATATATGTGGGACACCCCTTTCTCAGGACAAAAATGAGTTCGATTTTAGTCCGTTTCTAAACCGATTTCTTAAAGTGGGCAACAGTGGTGAAAAAAAATTTCCAATCTTGTCCCCAAAGGGGAACTTCAAATTTGAAATCAATGTATACTTCGTTGTCTCAACTGCATGGTTGCACAGGTCTTTCATGGGTAGAATGAGGACATAATGGAGTGAAATTTTGCTTTGAATGTATTTTTAGTTATTTGGCTAAAATCAAACGTGGAGAAATTGGAAGACTTTTTAAAACTCTCCTGATGGAGAGCGGGGATGCAGGGTAGGGGTGTTCTCTGGGCGTGTGAGCTAGGCGACTGGGTAGTGGTGGTGGGGAGAAAAAGAGGGGAGGTTTTGGTCTTCAAGGGACACCCCCTTTAAATTGCTGCGCCCTCGAGGGGGTGCAACGAGTGAGCGAGCCAAGGACCAAATAAATCCCCAGAGGTTCTAGGCGGGGCCTGCAGGCAGCTGGGAGTCAGGCGAGAGACAATGCTGGCCCGCTCCGGCCTCGCGCGCACGCGGGAAGGCAATGGCCCGGAGGCTAGGGACCGCGTTCCGCTCCCAGCAAGACCCGCCGCAGCAGCCTGCCTCGTACAGGGTCAAGATGACTTTGTTAAATTTGTGAAAACCAAGAAAGCAAACATTGCCAAAACTGCCAGTGAGAGAAGGAGGTGGCCTGCGGGGAACCCTCCCCGTGGGGAAGAGACCGAGTCCCCGCGTCCTACAGAGCCCTCCCCCACACCCTCCCCTGGGGCCTGATGCTGGCCCTGGAGCCCCTTCAGGACCCTCCGTCCCGGGCCGCTAGCGGCGGCGAGGGGCGGGGCTGTCTGTCCCGGCTCCTCTGGGGCTGGGGAAAGGGGGTGGGATTTGCTCTGAAAAGGTTGGGTCGCTACCCTCTCTGGTGCTCGCTTCTTTCTCCAGCGGCCCCGCGCGCCCACGGTCTAGATGAAGGGTCCATTCCCCACGCCCGTGAAGGAGGCGCGTAGGACGTGGCGAGGGGCAGCGGGGACGGCTGGCGGGTGGGGGTGCGCAGCAGGCGGGGCGGGTGGAGCCGCGGGAGGAACGGGGCTTCGGAGCCAAGCGGAAGGCCGGTTTAGGCCGTGGTGGAGCTGCTTCCAGTCCGAATGGACGTGTTCGAGGCGCCCTCTATGGGCCGAAAGCGGAATGAGGCCCTGAAGCAGCGCAGCTCTCCTGGGGTGTGGTGCAGAATTTGGGGGTGCTGGCCCTTGGGAATGTCGCGGACAAAAGCTTAGATTTGTGGTTTGTGATTTTTTGTGTTCTTGGGCGCCACCCACTTGTTTGAATTTTGGGAATGCGGTGCCTGGCCTGCTGGGTAGGCTGCTGGTATTGAAGGGGTGCGGGGGGGGGGGGGGGGGGGGGGAGTGGGTCCCAGACTCCAAGCAGGTCGTTTTCATTGTCTCAAGTGGGTTATGCGGATTCAGAGAGGAGTTGGTCCTCTAGGGCTTTGGAGGTCAGAGCCCTGGGCTCTCCTCCTTCCAGAGTTCTTGGAGACAGTGTGCACCAGCGGTGTCCTGAGGCTTTTGAGGAGGAATGGAGTCCTTGGCCCAAGGACATGTTGCTTTGGCATCCAGTGTGCTGGGAGACCCCTTCTGCGTGACTGCTGGAAGCAGCAGGTGGGATTCATGTGGGCAGTAGAGTCTTCTGCCAGCAGGCCTCTACTCTCTTAAATCAAATAGGAAGGTCCAGGCAGGCATCTGCTGCTTGCCCACCCTATAAGTCCATTTTTTAATCCGATACATTTGGGAACCTCAGTGCTGTCCCTTAGGTGGCTGGGCCAGCAGGTGCTCACCAGCAGGACTCCAGGCCTCAGAACTCAGTAGCATGTAAGTAAGACCTGTGCTCACTCCTGGGGACCAGAGAGGCCTCCTGTACAAAGAAGTCAGATCACCAGCCCCAGAATTATTTTTCTTGAAGGAAAAGCTAGAAATGAATTTTTAATGGAGCACTGAAGAGCATTTTTGTTCTTTCTGTGCTATTTGTTTACATCTTTCCCAACAACGCAGCTACCTAGGCGTGTGCAGCCTGCGGGCTTGCAGGGCCCATGGGAATGCCTGTGCAAATATCATTTCAGCTCCTAAAATATCTGGGGAGAGACATAGACACCCACTTTTTTTTTCTGAAAGCCAAAGCAGAAGTTCCTTTGCAGCTTTCTGCCACCGCAAAGCTGCTGTCCCATTCCACCCCTGCCCAGGGACAGACTCGGAGGGTGGCAGTAGTTCTGTGACCTGCAAGGAGGAGCCTGAACCCAAAAAGGGATAGACTTGAGGGATGTCTGAGGGTTAATGCTTGCACCTTGGTACCCCCTCCTCCATAGGTGACAGACTACCCTGTGTCCAGGACAGATTTCTGTCTCCACTGAGTCTTCTGGTGGGGGAGGGTAAGAAATCCTGTCTGGAGACACTCCTCTTTCTGCCTCAGCCCAGGCTGGTACCCAGGTGACAGGATCATCTGAAGCACAGGCCTTCTAGATTCCTGGCCTGAGGACTTGAGGAGTGGGCCCAGGCCCCACCCCGATTGTGACCTGCAGGAGTCTCTGCTCCCACCACTCTTCCCTCCCCCTCCCATCAATTATATCCCCAGCACATTTATCTAGTCTGCAATATGGAGAATTCATATTCATATCTTGGTTTTAGTGGTCTGACACTGATTAATGTCATACGCGCATTGGCTCCGAGGGGCGCGCCACCAGATGAATCATGCCCTATAAAGTTTCAGTTGTCCTTGTAGATGGGACTCTATCAGAGCTCAGAAGCCAAGAAGGGGGGTGGGGGGGGGGAAGAGGGAGGAAGAAGGAAAGAAAAGGAGAGAGGGAGGGCAGGGTGGGCTGTGGTTCCCAGGTGCTCTTGGCCCTATGTGGGAGGCTGGGAACCCTGGTCCCTTTGCCAGAACTCTTCTCCCCAGCTGGGCACTTCCATTTCAGTCCTCCTCAGCCTCCCTCTTCCCTTCCCTTCCAGATGGTTCCTCTCAAGACAGGCTCAGGGTGAGGCTGGGCCTTCCAGGTAAAGACGTTGGGTTTATGGACAATGATTTGGGGACACTGAAGCCCTCAATACTCTCCAGAAAGTGACAGGGTTCAGTTTGCCAGCAGGAATATGGTTTTGAAAAGTTTGGGAGTGTGGTTTGACAGGAGGGAAGGAAGCCCAGCCCAAGGAGGGTTGCTGGGTAGGGGGGTTCTTTGAAGGTTTAGGGTGCCTGGGCCTTGGGAACTTGGAAGGCCTAAGGGACTCCACAGCCTGTGCTGCATGGCCACATCACAGAACCCAGCACTGATGAGTCAGCTGGGCTTCCAGAACCCCAAAGGAGAATCTGTGGGGTACCAGACACTGAGTTCAAGCCTTGTGGCCCTGCAGTTCGCCAGGTCTCAGCGGTGTCTTGGTGAATATTCTTGCCATATCTAGCTGGCCTGGACCTGGCTCCAGGCATAGAGGGCAAGCAGGGAAGGGGGTGGCTGAAGTCTGCAATCCAGGGTGGATGGCCAGGAGACAGCTAGGCGGTAGGGCCTCTGTGCTTGGGGAGTGATGGCCCTCCCAGCTGCCTGGAGATGTCCCTGAGCTTGTGTGGAGGAGCAACCTCCAACCCTAAAACATTTCCTTGGCTATGGCTGCCCACCCCAGGGATCAGATGAATGGTCTCCAAGTAAAAAGTCCTCAGTGATCGGGTGCTTGCTCAGCTGGGGAGGGAGAACTTCCCATGTCTTCGGAGACTGGTGGAGCCAGGGGCTCTAATTATAGCTCCCGAGCTGAAAGGCCACAGAAGGTCACCCCTGGGGACTGCTGGGGGCCTTTTGTGCCCCTGCTTCTGAAGCTGGATATAGATCCTCTTCCCTCCCACTAAGGACCTCTGAGAATGGGCCCTCTGAGGGCAGCTGGTTTGTCAGTGCAGAAAGCACTGGATGTGCGACCCACAGTACAGTTAGAGGCCCATGACAATGTTTTAATTTATTTTTAAATGAAAAGAAAACAGGAACTTTTAGGTGGAAGACAATGTGTTAATATATAATATCAATTTATTCATCTTCAACCAATACAGTTGCGACATTTATTGTTTAACATTTGTTTTCAGTGGAGGGAGAGGTCCAACACCCAGGAAAGTCACTTTGTGGCCCCGGCCAAGGAGATCCTGGAGCTGCCTAAAATCCTGGAAATGCTTTAAATGGGAAGTCAGAGAATTGAGGTGGTCCCTGAACCTAGGAGCTCCCCCCTCCCACTTTCCCGCTCCCCAATGGGCCTTGCCATCTCACATTCAGGCAGCAGGGACTCATGGCCCTGAGGCCCAAGTCTCCAGAGCCCCCAAGCTGTTGACCTGAACCTCCTCGCCCTGGGGGAGCAGGCAGAGGCCAGAGTCAGGGCAGATCCGCCTACCCCAGCTCCCTGCCCCACATGACGTCCTGGGAAGGAAAGGCCAGTACTCCCAGGCAGGCAAAGGGCAGTGGTCGGGGTGGGAGCAGGGGCCAAGCAGCCCCCTACCCACCTTGTGAGGGGCACAAGGGGCAGCCCTTTCTGCGCGCTGCTGTTTGGCTTCTGAGGACGCCGCGGGGTCTCTGATCCCCTAATCCATTTATCCAGCGTCTTGAGTGCTTGGGCTGAATGCAGAGACACAATGGCCTGGGCTGCAACAGGGGGCTGGTGGGGGAAAGTGGCTACCCAGCGAGACCCCGCCTCCGGATTCCGATCACATCTCCCCCATTGCCACGGTCCTGCTGGCGCGGGTCCGAGAGCTTGAAATCACGCTTATAGTGTAA